TTCAGAAGCGCCAAAATTAGGAGACCCTTTCTGTTTTGCAGCCATGAGTGAAACAAAATTTTAAAAAGGTCTCGAATTTCGGTTAGAAACAACACCGACATGCAGAACAGAACGAAAAATATTATTGCTTGTTGCCTGAAAGTTGCCGGTTATTGCCTGAAGCTTAGCTAAGAACACGTGAAAAACGGATGGTGCAACTCATTGAAATTTAAGTCGGACTTACATTTTAAGATATTCTTAGGTAAGGACCTGCTTAGAAGAAGTTTGGTGCAAGTGGGCATAAGAAACATTGTAGCAGCACCTTGGTCCGTACCATATGAGATCAGCAGAACAGACCATCAATTAGGAGCAGAACAATTTTCTAAATTGACAAACGAGGAAAAAACTATGTAATATTTGAGGACACAAATAAAAATATTCAAACGCTTTCTGAGTAGAACAGAAAAAAGGTATTCTTATCCCTGATAAGGGCAATAAAACGGCAATCATGATGAAAAGTGATTTTTGCGTACTTTAGTAATTTGCATATAAATAAATTCCTATAAAATTTCAAACTTTGGCACAAATATGAAACTTGACCATTTGTACAGGCCGTTTTTTGAATAGTAGCACATAGTTCAGAGGAATATTCTATGGGTTAAACAATTTTTTTTAATGGGAGTAACTGCTCAGGATCTGAAAATTGTTCTGATTTAAGTAAACATACATTTTTCTTAATATATATCCCCTAATACAGAGAGTTAATTTTATAATTTATTATTAATACTCTAACTAATTGATCGAACCAAAAAAACCACTATGAATAAAATACTACATTATTCCAACACCACACCTAAAAAAGCTGAGCGCAAATGATTTGGCAATGCTGCAGGCGGGTGTATTCTGTCGAATTAGCGTCAAAAGTCATAATGACGGCAAGGCTTGAAATGGATATGCGAATGCGTTGTTTTGGGTATTTTTCTCTAGTGCTGCTGCTTGGCATTAGATATTTTCGATGCAGGCGTGTCCCACATAAATTAGTGGAAAGTGTGTGCTTGTGGAATTTTAGCTGATCTTATCAGGCTGATCGATTTGAAAATAGGAAAAGCCGGCAACCATACCCCTCTTCACCCCCTTTTGTTTGTTTGTAAATAAATGGATAATGTATCCTTTGCTGTTAGTTCCAGAGAAGAGTGTGAACCTTGGATTATTGCCAGTATACTGAAAACGGTCTCTTCAATGCTTAATTGATGGACGTAATTGCGTAAGGGAGTAAACACAGATGTAAACTGTAGAATTGTTGAATTGTACTAGGAAGATGACAACTAGTTCTGAGTCTGAAGGCACTGGCTCATCGGATTACACCGATTCTTCCGATGAAGATGGAATGGAAACAGCTTATGCCTGCGGCACGAAAATTCAAGTGCCTCAAGGCCTGTGCGAGCGAAAGGACATTTTCGATGAGTTCTTTACAGTTGATTTATGGAATTCATTTTCAGATGAAGATAAAGAGCACCTACAAACTTTCTTACCAAATTTCCCCGAGAATGATGACTTGGAGAAAACCAAAACTCTTCAAAGACTTTTTGATTTTGAAAACTTTAGATTCAGTAACCCGCTAACGAAATTTTACGACCATTTAAAAGCTGGCTATTTTCGGCCTGAAATTGCTCGAATGAGAAAAATGATTCACAAAAAAGAACGATTGGAGGCGAAATTCAGGCAGCAAAAATACAAGAAGCAGCTAAAACGTGATGTAATTGAATCTCAGAGGAAACTCATGAACCAAATGAAATTCCTGCCTCCAGGCCATGAGCCTAAGCAAGAAAAACGAAAACTGGACCTGGATCAGGAATATGTGTATTGCAGGACAAAGAAGAAGTATTTTCAAGTTCTGGCAGCGATCAATGGGAAAATGGACGATGCGGACTTTTCACCAGATGAAAACTATCCAGAGGGGCCTTGTACAAAGCTGCCGAAAAAGCAAAAACGACACTTAAATAGCATACGAAATAGCTTGAATACATGTAAAGGTAAACTGTATCATTCAACGATGGTTGGGAAGGCCAATGGGATTTCAATAGATTTGGAAAAATACGTCACTACATATCAAAACCCTTTTTACATTACGGATGAAAGCTATAAGAACGTGTTGCATCAACACAGGAAGAGGAAATCGGAAAATTGTGGTGATCCTGAGTTGGATGTAGATGGTGAGTGCAATGTATCTAGATTTAAATATTTTAAAGCCAGATTTTTGCATTTTATGCCTAGGTTTCAATCCAGTACATTTGGCAAGTTTATTATGCAAGCAATATTATTAACTGACTGTAAGGTCAACTGAGGGCAAAAAATATTTTTACTGTTTTATCACGATTGTCTATTTATGTTCATTATTGCGCTGGGGTTTCGCTCTATTAATTTATATGGATTACCGGTTGCCAGTATTTTCATTGAGGTACTATTTTAATTCATGAGCCATAAAAATGACAAAAATATAAGCATTTGCATCCACCATTATGTCAAGAAGAAAAACCGGAGTAACTTTTGTATTTAATGCTTTTTATGTTTTCGTTGATTCAAAGTGTGATTGAATGATGTTATGCGTTGTCTAAATTTTAAATAACATTGATCCTTCTTTCGAAAGCATATATCGCATATAGAAATTATATCTGACCAAAAGTTAAATTCATTGAAGGTCTCTTTAAGTGTGAAAACAACCGCTTTACATAGTTTTTTCATCATCTATCTATTTTACTATGTTACTATCCTGTGACCGGGTTTAAGCGGTTTCTGTTCGGCAAATGTACAGTGCAGTACAACTTTTTGGAAAAACACTCAACCACCTCAATTAATATTTCAAATAAGCATATTTCGAATCATTTAAATATAATATTAAATTACCTACAAAATATAATTTAAAACCAGACTAATGCACCGACATGCCGGTTGTAAATAAATCAGATAAGATAATCGAATTGTATCACATCACATGTATTTCTGTTACGTATTTGCAGTTGCGAAACAGGCCATTGATACAACAGAATCATTTAAATGCAGATGCCATGTCGATGATTAATTTAGATATTTACTATATCAAATGTAATTTTTTTCAGGTATTTCCATCATAGATGTGATTAATCGAACGCAATTGCCTTTTATCAAGAATTTGCAAATAAAGCCGAATTCAGCTGATATCAAGCCAGTTCTTCCAAGGAAGCGAATAAAAAAAGAATTAGACATTAGAAAGTCGTGCGATAGTAACGTATTTACTGGTAAACTTGGACACTCGTTGCTGAATAACAGTTCAAACTCTGATTCCGACTCTGACTCTATTATAGACGCTGTTACTGTACCGACCACGTCTGCAAGCTTTAGCAGCGTTTTCGGCGACAATAAGTTCAATTCTCTAGTAAAAGCGCCCTTGTCACCTAAAAAAATTAAGGATGAAATTAAGGCCGAAATATTGGATCCAATTGAATGTTTCGAAACTATTCCCAGTAGTATTCAAGGCTTAAAGTCCCATATTTTGAGAGAAACCGCCAGCCCGATTACGACGGTTTTGCAATCAAATTACGGCGAGATCACTCCTATTAAAATGGAAGATCTCGAAACTATAGATATAATGAATACGCCTATAGAACTAGATAATTCCGAAATCGACATTATGGAGCTAAGTATCAAGCCTGAACTGATGCAAGATACCCATGCGAACTTCTTTTCTCTTATCAGGGACGTGATTTGCTCTACAATTGAGCACAGAATGAATATGTACACCTTGCAGGAACGGTTGAAAGCCTGGCAAGAGAATCCTATAAGTCCTTTAAATGACTGGTACAGGTAGGAGGGATTTGAAATTTTAAAAGGCATAAAAGGGATATGTTTTGTTTTTCTTTAGTTACGTAGACAATTGGATAAATATTTTGCCGTCCGCAATAACATTCTTATGTGGGAACGCTTCAGAACAGCCTGATGATTTTGTGCCCTATATGGAGTATAAGCTGAACTTGGATGTTTACCAGTGGATAGGGGCAGGTCGAGATTCGGATCCGTTACTATCCAATTTGTGCAATTTTTGGCTACAGCACAGAACGGAGAGTAAAATGATGAAACCTCTTGAAGTGGAACTTGATATTGCCGATAAGTATGTTAACTGTTGGATTATTGTAAGCTTTTTACAACGTAATTTGAGTAGGCGATGTAGAGCTTTCAGAGAGCATTTCGCAGCTTTGTGTGTTTTTACGTACTCCTGCGACTCGATTTCCTTTTCTGTACAATATTCATACAAGAACTGGCGTACCGACCATAAAATTGCAGAACTTTAAAATCGCTTTACCCAAAAATTGTATAAAAATAAAAACCGACAGTAAGCATGTAACGATTTAGAGATGGGACGCCACCTCCCCCAAGATGCCCTACCACTTGGACTGTCCGCAAGGCAACTTTGGAGGACATCAAAGACTATCGAGAGCAGGAGCGTAGAAGATACGACAATCCCCATAAGGTAAAAAAATTGCATCAAATCTCGGAAAAATAGTTGCATCAATCGTGGACTGTTTGCAGGCTTTTACGTTTCGGTGCAATGGCTACGAGTCCGTTGTGGGTCCGCTGAAAGGCATTTATTATCCAGCTCCAGCGAACTCCAAAGCCAGAGGCCACACAATGCTCAATGCGGACAGGCCGAACTTTGTTACCATTTTATCGTTAGTCAGAGACGCAACCGCTCGACTGCCGAACGGCGAAGGGACGCGCTCAGAGATTTGCGAGCTTCTGAAGTCTTCCCAATATATTTCCAGTTCTGCGCCTGATAGTATATTACAGTCTGTGGTGTCTGGAGCCTTGGATAGAATGCACACTCAATGGGATCCGTGTGTTAAGTTAGTTACTGGGAACAACTGGCGAGCTACTGTTTCTTGACCGCATTTTTCAACAGATATGATCAAAAGAAGAAAACATGGGTGTACCTGCATCGGCACAGAACAGAGGACGATTTTGAACGCATCCATCAGCACTATCAAGGCGTTCAGAAGGGCAAGAAAACCGCACGAAAGTCTCCAGCCAAACCGAAAACCCCCAAAGGAGAGAAGGTTACCAAAACAACCAAAATACTACATCCGAAGGCTGTAATAGTAGGCAATAATGTTAATACTGCTAACAGCAATGTGGTGACGCAGCATGTAATAGTGTCTACAAATGACACTAGAAAGGAGCACAATGTGCATGTTGAAGAAGCGAAAGAAGAAGTTGTAGATGGGCAAAGGTCACAGGTATACCACTTTTCAAGACAAATGTTCTAACAGTTTTGTTTGATCTATTTTAAATTAATAGGACTTAACCGAAGTGAAATCAGCTGATAAGAACACATCTGTCCCGCCTGAGATCATCACAGTCTCAATGCCTCAGCAGAAAACAACTACAATCCGTCGTCCTGGCGTTTTTCAAGCTAAAACAACTGGCTGCAAAGATGAGAAGCTTCTGGTTGTTACAACAACTCCTAATTTAATAGCTGCCTCCCAGAAAGGAACTAGCTTGCTGCTGAGCAATAATCTCCCCAAGCAGCAAGAGGTTGGAAAAACTCCTCATACGCTTCTATGTTTTGCATTGTTGTATTTTAGACATCACAGCCTTCTCCCACTCGGATCAAGGCTCAGTCTCTAGTAACCAAAAGAGAGTCGTTGGAAGAAGAAACCCCTGAACTGATGCATATACGAGTAGCAAGTCCCATGGGGGTGATTAAGGGTGCAGCGAAAGGTTCCATGGTGAAAATTATGTCCCCATCGCAAGGCAAGAGTGTCATCATACCCACTTCGAATCCGCAAATTTTGAAGCAGATCCAGGAGCGACCGACTAAGGCCCAGGTAACTCAGCAGTTCTTGCAGAGTTTAGCCATACAAGCAAAGCAGGTAACGTTTACAGTTTTTTTGGTCGAAACTTACTACTTTTATATAGAATTTTCTACAATTTTCCCTGAAATTTAAATAAGAAAATTTTGTTTCGAATTTTGCCTATTTTAGTTGGGTTTGACTTGTTTTTGTCTTGTTCTCCCATTGCGTAGTTTATAGTATTCGATGTATTGCTTGCTGGAATTTACAATGCAGGTAAATTTGTACGGGGTGTCCAAAGTTTGTATTATAATCACCTGCAGGAAATACATCGACTTATCACTATCAGAGAAATTGGTATGTATTCGATTGTTATTTTCAGAAAACGGTTACAACGAAAGGCACTATAGAACTTCCAGAAGGCGATTCGGTTAAACACATGGAAAAGGCAAAGATTCCTGTTAATATTCAACAGCAAATCGTTCAAGGCTTGACCACTCAACAATTGCAAAACATCAAAAACGTAACTTTACTACGTACAAATAATCCCACTGTCACAATGAATTCTCAGAGTAATATTGAATCTCAAGACGGTATTCACGTTTCAGGCAAAATTCAAACTCAAACTGAGGTACAGTGAACAATGCTTATTTTAAAATTAAGCTACAAACCTAAGTGATTCTCAAATAAAGAAAACCCAATAATTAAAAACAAGTTATACAAGCTTGTTTTGAATATTCCGAAGGATTCACTTTGTGTTGCAGAAATACTCAATCCAGATAGTCTCAATTTAGTTCACGGTTGCCTCGTTAAAGCCCTAAAACTTTTCAATGCATTTCAGACTGTTCAGTTGAAGACTTCAGCTAATTTGACTACGGCTCAGACTCAGCAGATTTTGCAAACCATCAAGCAGAAATACTTGCCAAATGCAAACATGCTGACGCCTCAACAGCAGGTCCTATTAAAACAGAAGGGTTGTGTTGTTCAGTTGCAGAAATCTACTGGGGTTGTTAAAAATAGCGCTTCTGGTTCAGGTAATTGACTACAAATAGAGCCAACATAATTTTAATTCAAATAGTTCGTTATAGTTAAGGCAATTTTTATATGTATTTGAGTTGCTCTATTACCATTTAGTAATCGGAATACATATGCGAAATGTTTCGGTTTAGTTGTTTAAACCGTAAAAGCGCTAAACCCACGGGAAAATTCGCAACTTTCAAAATACGGTATAATAAAAGGATTATATCGGGCGCGATGTTTTTTCCGGTTAACAGAATAATTAGACAATTTTGTTTACAGACAATATGACGAAAACCATTCAAAGCGGTCAAGTTCCGATGGTTGCTAAAGTTCTTACAAACGCCGCTGGTCAAGTAATATCTGTAGAAAGCCTGTTGGCCCATCAGAAAGCGCATGGAGCACTTCCGCATGGTTGGTACAAAGTATAGATAATATTGATTATTATTTCATTAGCAAATTAAACAGTTTTTAATTTTTTTATGTGTTTAAGGTACCACTCTTCGAGTTCAAGGCTCTAAAGCCGGGCAACAGAATGTGATCCATTTAACAAGTGCTGCCAAGCCAAACACAATAGCCCATTTTACCGTTGGGTCTCAAAATAATTTAGTCGCATTGACGACGCAGCCTAAACTCGTAGTCGCTCCTCAAACAACTACCGTTACCACTACAGTCACTCAATCCAAGCCGCAATCTACCAGGTACTTGAGTTCTATAATAATAATTTTCGCAACTTCCGCGAATTTCTCCAAATTGTTCAATTGCTTAATGCAAAAGTAAGCGCGCAGATTAAACCAATTGCTATATTTTACTTTGTCTATTTTCACTTGAATAACTCGGCATGGTAAGTTACCTTTATTGTAGAAATGTGGCATCTTCCCGAATCCAGCCGGGCGGCAAAACTCAGAACCTCACCCAGCATTTAGTCAATGCGAAAATTATTACTTCGGATGGCCAGAAAATTGTTCAGCCAAAAATGATGGTTGGCGGCCAGGCAATTAAAGTGCCGTCCAAAGTAGGGGCGAGAACTGCTAATTTCGGGAGCAGCCTTCGAATGCTCAACACCGCCAACTTGAACCTAACCACCCTGGATGGAAAACCGGTTCTTCTGGCCAGCAAATCTGGAATTCAAAGCTTGCACGGCCAAAATGTGATTGTTCAGGTTAGTCTGTTGCATTTATCTAGGTATAATGTAGGCAAAAGTATTAATGTGTGCTCATTTTGTTGATGAAATTATTAACATTGGATTACATGCTCTTTGGCAGGCCCATCCAGGCTCGACTCCAACCAGTTCCTCGTTGGTGTTGCAAAGCGCTGTTACGAAAAAAGCTGGCCACGCCATCTCCCAATCGCAAGGCTCGACTAATATGTTGGGACAATCCGGGAACATCGTTTTCAGTTCAACGGCCATTAAAAATCAGGTACCGCAACAGGTGCTTTTTTCCAGCCAAGGTAAAAGTGGTTCAGTGAGCGCGACAACTTCTCAAGCAGGTGAATAGAAAGGTACTTTTTGTCGGAGCACACTATTTTTTGCTTTATGTAACAGGACACATTGTACTGGGGAATCAGCCAATCAGATTGCAGACAAATAGTGCGAGTGGCAGCCAAAGGGTGGTACTTGCGAGCCAAGGCCAAGGCGGCCAGATTTTAGCACAGCAGATTCTGCTGCCTGCAGGCTTTCAGGGTGCTGCCATCAATATCAAGTCCTTGCAAGGGGTCAAAGTGATTCCTATTGCTCAAAATCAAAAAGGTATGACTTGGATCAGTGCTATTTTGTTGATTAAGGATTTTTGCGTGAAAAGGTAGTTTAAAAATCAACAAAAGCTCGTTTTTTCCGCGGTTGCTCTCCACCCAATTAATGAGCTTTAATGACAAACTTTGGTACTTAACTATCGACATTCTGAAAGTTTAAAGCCAATTATCTCAGTGTTTTGCAACTGGAGCTGAAATTAATCTTTTCTGCGAACAACTTCTGGTTTAATCCCTCGCAGCAATGGGTGAACTTTTACGACCATTAACGTTGTTTTAATTTCCGCGACGGCAATTTTCATTAAAACTGGAAATGGGAAAATATCAATTTGTAGCTGAGTAGTCCAAAGTGACGGTGGCGGCTAACTAAAAGCCTAATTGGATTATTATTACATTTCAAGGCGTTTAGAACTTGGGTTTTTTCAGGTCAGAGTCGGCAAATTGTCGCCAAAGTTATGAATCCGAGCGTTGTTAAACAGGCAACACAGCAGTCGACGCCTGTTCAACTTCAAGAATCTGTAACTATTCACAGCTCAGAGAGTGAATGAGGCTTGTAATTTTAGGTAGACTAATCTTAGTAATGGCAATCTTTGCAATTTGATTTTAGTTTTAGAGTTTTAGTGTACATTAACAGTTTGGCAGTGGAATCATTCCTAAAGTATCGCGAGGGAAATATTATAAAATCTTAATTTTATTAAACGGGTGTTTTTTGGAAAATTGAATATTTTTGGGTATTTTCCAAATACAGCTTAAAGAAGCTAACTTTTTAGCATAAAACGGTGATATTTTAGGAAGCATTTTAATGCACATTGTTATGATTTAGTTAATTTTAATTCGCACATTGTCTGTATAGTTCACACTTGCTGTATTATGTTTGTTAATTTGGCAAATATTGCGTTTTTCAACAAGTTTGTGCTGAAAAAAATCAACGTGGTCTTTAACTCGTCGTGGAGTTGTGTGCTTTGTATGATAGTGTATTATAAAGAATAATGATAGGGCACGTGAGCTCGCTGTAAAGGGGTGAATTGTATTTTTACTTAATCGAACTTACTGATGTGGATTAATTCATTTGTTTGCTTATATGAATGCAATTAAAATAGGACTTCCTGTTTCTTCGATTGTATGCCATTGAAACTTGAGCAATAATTCTTATGCTGCAGAACTTTTCACTGTTTTGTTGCTAGACAACAACTTTGAACTTGAAGGGCAAACTATTTTCGAAAAATTGAACAGCCGGTATAATTTATTTATATTGACACTATGTTGAAATACAGAATATTTTAATGCAAACTTGTGTTTTATTCCATTCCGCAATGAGGAGTTTTGATAAGTGAAACATTACTTCTTTCAATGAAGACTTTTTAGCGTCCGAAAATTCTAAACGAAATTCCAAATAATTTTTGAAATAAGAAAAATTATTTGTCGGTTAAAGCCGCGAAAAAAACCTCTTTTATTACTTCTTTCATTTGCGTCGATGTTGGGAGGTTCCAATAAATTCGCGCTTGTTGCGGTTGTTCATTTTCCAATATTTCCTTAGAAACTAACGATACTCACACTGCGCTTTGCCTAGTTTTAGATGTTTTGTTTGCCATTTTCAGGTGTTTGTGCGTTTTCGTTAAAAAATTCATCGGTGTAGTGATACGGACATTTATCATTAAAGGTAACGTGTACATTAAGAATCCCATTCGAATCGAAGATCCTCGGTTATCAGGGAATTAGAACATAAATTCCATATGGACAGATTTTTAAAGTACGTTTTGGTTTTCATGTTTTTTTGCCTACTTTAAAAACTGTCTAATTATTGACTATAATCCACACAATCTATATTGTGTGACAATTTAAAATCATACATACAACTAAAATGTGTTTATCGTATTTTATTTGGAGGGTTTATCGAGATAGAAAACAAATAAATTTTGCTTCTTAAACTTAGAGCTATTTTCTACCTGAAAAGTTACGTTTGACAAGCAAAATATAATTTTATCAGTTACAGGCGCGGTAAATTTCCAATTAATTGTTTGTTCAAAACAGTTGCTCTAATCTAGTTAAAATTTGTGTTATTACAATTTACTTCTGTTCTGCGCTATTCATGCTAGAAATGATGGCAGAACATTAATATATTATGGAGGTGCTTATTATTGAGCTGATATTAAGCGGTTTTTTGCAAATGTATAGTTGAGATTTTGTCCTGTGCGGCTTAAAAAGCGCTCTCGGGCAAACACAAGCAAAAATACAATTCTTAATTAGTAAAACGCGTCGGGCAACACTGTTTGCAAATTAGGATAGTGAGGCTCTAAAACCACCTATAAGTAACAATTAATGCAATGTCAAATGCTGCTGTAAAAATGCTTGAGAAATAAATATATGAATAACACCATTCCAACTACTTAAAACATACATATTCCGAAAAAAACTAATTGAGTTTGTTGGCAAAACCTGTTGTAAGCGACAAATAATTAAGAGGAGAATCAATTAGAGTAAATTTTCCGGAATGAGGGTCCAGCAGGAACGACGCGGCGCAGATTGGGCCGTTGCTATAGAAGCAACAGGGCAGCATCGCGGCAGCGATGATCCAGATAGATCTTTTCCAGATAGCAGTCAGTGCGTTTCGTATCGTTTAAAGAAATTGCCACTTCCAGAAGGTGAGTTTTGTATCGTTCGTGCTGGTTTCAATTGCTCTCTATTACATTTAACACTCTAATAACCGGTTAACACTGCAGTATATTGCTGGTAATTGCTTCAATTACAGTTAAGGTTTTTTTGATTCAGTTGTTTAATTCGTTGCTTTGCTTATTTTTATCTCGACTTGGATTTGCGGTCTTTGGATACATAAAAACCTGATCGCTTAAAAATTGGAATTATAAGCTCTGGTTAAATTATTAATTTAATAAAAGGACTTTTTTACTAGTTCGTGTGTTTTTCGTATATAAAAGCTTGCGGATAAATGGCAAGTGTGTGATATGTTTTCAAACAATTTGAGAGGCTCAAAAGAATTAGGCTTACGCGGGCAATGCTTGAAACTGCTTCAAAAGTTTTTCCTGACATTTCGCCAGCACGAGTGGGCTACATCTTCAAATGTGATTGCTGCGCTGAGCAAGTCACCTCTAAAGAAGTCATCAGGAATAGTTTTTTTGTGCCAAAAACCCCGAAAACCTTTTTTTTACTTAATCAAAAGTAACAATTTATGTTGTGATTGTCGTACGTTTTTTATTTATTCGAAAGATATCGAATTTTTCTAATCTGCTTATAGATTGGAATTGGATCAAAAAACTCATCTGGATACAAAAATATAGATTTTCTCGGATAAAATCTGTTTTCTAAGGAAAATTTCAGATTCAGAAGAGTTTTTTGTTTTACGTGGACTGAAACAAATTAAATATGTTTTACTTGATTTTTGGTTTTTTGCCTTTTATTATTGTGGACAGTATTTTGCATCTTGTGCTTAAAGATTTCTTTAATTTGTTACATCAAATTCATCATGTTACACATTCATTCATGTTACACTTTTCTATGTTAAAAAAAATAAATATTAGGCAAACGTCGTTAATAAATAATTATCAATCATCTTGATTGAGAATTTTTAAGTGCGACCTTTTAAGTTGTAAATTTAATTAGTTTTCTTTACTAGTGTATTGAGGATCGTTTGCTGATGATCTGATTCTTGGGCATTTCAAGCATTCCCAGTTCAAGAAATTCCCTTCAGCTGTTTTTCTTAATATTATATCTCTGTTCTGTACTTCTGCTCTTTCCTATTGTCCCTTATATTATTGTTTTACGCTCTTTTGAGTTTGGGTTACTAATAGGTTTCCAATTTTTTTCATTAGATTTAAACCTTGTTTTATCAAAACTGTATCTATCGTATTTCACGTTTGCCTTCTTTTCCGTCCAGCATCGCGTAAACATTTATTCCACTACCTACTTTCTTTTATTCGTTATCTGCGTTAATAATTGCATCCGTTAAATTTATATTTCTGGGAAATTATTTGGCCGTTATACTTTTATATTCGTCACAACATTTGTAAAATACCTTTACAATTTTTCTTTTCTGTAATACTTTTTTTAGTAAAACTAGGCGAACCCTTCTTACTTAATATTAGAAAACCATAGATATATTTTATCTCATAGTGTTTTTTAATGTTTTATTTAGCTATTTTATGCTAAAAGGCTTATTATGAACATGTTTATTGAGGAAATGCATGCTTCTTCACATCTAAATTTTCCGCTCTTTATTATTGAATGTGGCGCTTGAGAAAATTAGTAATTTTAATGAAGATTACCTCAATCTCTTGTCTCTCGAGATTTCTTTCATTAGTTAGAGAGCAAGATAACGAAGGCATTCAAAATTTTTTCGAGTAAATTTAAAAATAAAAAATGTTCACCCATTTTCTCAAGTAAGTATAAAAGACAAAGTACATTCTAAAAATGGCGGTTGCTAATTTTATTCAGTTTTAAACTACTTTTGAATCTCAAGTGTTTTCTATAGATTCTTAAGAAGAAGAACTTTATTAATATTCAATATTCAAGTTGTTAACACTGAAAAACTTATTGACCGTTTGCCAAACTCGGTGTTATTCTTTAAAATAATCTTATTTTGTTTATTTTTTACACAGCTCAAAAAATGTAATACTTTTCTAGAACTTACCAGAACAACTGGCTGCAAACATGTTGGATTACAGCATCATACCTCCAAGTCGTTTTAATGCCGTAATCGAACATCTTCGAGTTAACTTTCCAGATGAGCCTTTGAATGCTTCTGTCGGGCTATGCTTGCATGGAATTCCTTGTCCCTTACTGGAACACCATGACTTGAAAACTATGCAAGATGGAATGTCCATTATGGCAGTGGACAAAGAAAAGAACAAGGTAGGTGAAAATTGCTAGATTTCCAGTCGATTTTCACATTTTTTAAATTAATGCTCGTCATTGGTTTCACGGAATATGAATGCAGAAAGGGCGAAGAACAATTAACGTAGAGATAGTGCTTAATCGCCTATTATTTGAGCTTAATAAATTGGCCCATAAAGATTGGATTCGGAAATGTCGAAGGACTGATCGGCAATATCCTCTTATTGAATTCGGACTATTTCTGGCCTCGAAAGGTATTTCCGGAAAGCGTTTAATGACATTTTCCCAGTCTAAACGTGCGTTATTAAATTCCAAGCGGTGCGAATATAGGGCAGTAATTTTCATTTTTGTAAATTATTTTGAATTCCTTCTTCTATTGACGTTCACATTTTAAGGCAGTCAATAGGCGTTATTTAATAAAATATTGTTCCGCATCGGTGAACTGTAATAACATTTATCTAGAAATGGAGTTTAAATGCCTGGGATATTAGAAGGCTCGGACTTCTGAAAAATGTATTAAATAAATTAAATTTAAAATATTGGCGTCGAAGCACAGTAGTTTAATACCGCATAATCAGTCGTTATAAAGCTGGTTCAAAAAGCCCAAATATCCGATTTATCATTTGCTTAACTCTTCTAGTCTTTACATCAAATGTTTGCATAACAGATGGGTCCTAACGCAAAAACCGTCAAGAGAAAGATTTTATTATTTGTTACTCCAGTAAATTTAGTAGAAGTAGAAATTTCGTTGCTTTTAGATTGCTGGTGTGGCTTTGAACGGTACATCAAAACGAGGCGAAACTGAACAATCCATTGAAGAAATGAAAACCATCGAAAACCTCGAATATCGACGAATTTTCGGCCTGCTCAACGACGTGAACCTCGAATTGGATTTATTTTCCAAATACAATGTGGATAAGATATTTGAAGTGCGGATATTGTCCGTCGATTCTAGTTATCGAGGCAAGGGCATAGCAAAAGAGCTATTTGCTCAAAGTGAAGCTATGGCCAGAAAAAATGCATTTAAGGTAGTAGTTTTGTTATAAATAAATCATCGTTCATACAAAACATCTGCAATCCTACAATCAAATGTTTTACAAGCGTAATTCTCAAATCAATTTGTCATTATTATTGTTATAAAGTGGAAATGTTTTCTTAGGTGATGAAAACGGATGCAACAAGCCTTTTTACGCAGAAAGTGGCAGAAAGCCAAGGCTTTTGGGTGGAAAAATCCGTAAACTACCACGACTACAAAGACGAACAGGGTAAAAAAATTTACGACACTCGACCACCTCATCTGCACTATAAAGTGATGGCTAAACTCATAGAGTGAATTGGTTTTCCTAAAGTTTTAGTTATTTTTTAGTTAAAACAGTTGACTGGTTGAATTTTACTTTGATAAGATCATTGAAGAAGTTCATAGATATTCAGTAAACAACGCTATAAAATACTCGGATTGAAACTCAACATTTCCGTTTACTTCAAAGTAATTCATCGAAAGCCTCTTAAATGATCATGGCAAAACAACCGATTCCTGTTTGTTGAGTATAATTAGATCAACCCATCGATTATATGGAGTTTTTGATAATTATGTACAATTTATACGTTTGATAAAAATGTTGATGCTGCCACTGCCATGCAGAATTAAACATTTATATATGTATGTAATCAATTTTAGGTGTTAACATTACGAAGGGATTCTTTAAACTGGCTATACAGAACTTGACATTAGCGGATTCATGGATTTATTTTAAATACTTTTTTCGGGCTTTGTTTAGCTATTTTACTGACATCCTATAGCACTGATTGCATAGTTTTATGCTGAATCAATTATGTTTTATGAGAAAAAAGTGCTTAGTAACACCTGCTTTCAACGTATTGCAAAAAAACTATTTGATTTTTCTAAGCACTAAAAGCGGCAAAATATTTTATAAAGTAAGTTAACAAAAAAACGACAGTGTAAGGCTTTTTTTTCCTTATTTGTTTCCCTAGTTATTTTATAGTCGATTTGGGATTATTTAAATCAGTTGGAATGACAAACCTACAACTTTCGTTCGTTTTTTCATTATTTGATTTGCATCGTTATTTACCCGATTTTATTAGAGACCGTTTCTCTAAATAACGTTACTATTATTTAATCATAATTTTATATGAAAGAAATCATTTCATCTGCTTCTTATATGAAGATCATTCGCCATGTCTAGAAAATTACAGATTTACTGATGCCGGTTTTTGCAACTTAGTTGAGATCTGATTGTTATATAAAAGCTATTTTCCAAAAATTATTTTCCTCAACTGCTATGCTTTGGCTGTAGTTTTTGGAAATTTTTAATCTTCAACTTTTTTTGTTAGTTTATTCGACGGTATTAAATGTAGCCAATAATCACTGTGTGTTTTCAGTATTTCCATAAATTACATTCCATGTGATTTCCAGTTAATAGAGTACGTGAATAGTGGACAATTATAAGGGTGTACATTTTTTATAAGACAGACGTATAATAAATATTTTTAGAAATAAATGGAGTTTTAAATCCAATTTTTGCATCGTGTATTATTTGGTTTGTCAAACGGTACTGACTTTCATTTCTTTTTAGACAATTTTTTGGAGACAATATAAATTTGGTAAAAAGCAGTAGACCTCTGCAATGCGAATTTGCTAAAAAAAACTATCAATTTTTCCTTCTTTCTGTGATTAATTTGTGAGCAATGGATACGGTTTTGTGCTCAATACGTTTTTTTAAGTATCCGAAAAACTTCTAATGCTTTTTGAACCATTTACTTATTTAGTGTTAGTATGCTTAATAGATGAAGGACTGTTAAGCTTTGCTTTGAAACGGTAAAAGGCAAAATGTCTTTCAAAATCTAGAAGTAAAAGTAAGCGATTTTTTACAACAAGAAAAAAATGCAAGACTTTCACTCATTGAGACCCATTGAAGCCCTTCACATAGATCGATCAAATCTCTCCGGTTTGAAGAACATTTAGTAGTTGAGTTGTCGTATTCGCTGTAGAGCCTGGAGAGATTCTATAGTCAATTCCATATCCGCAAGTGCATCCTTAAGGTTCTTGTTATAATTAAATCGCCTCCAAATATTTAACGAATGGCCGAAAGCGTACAGGGACTAATTAATCCAATTTTCTGGTATTAGATCCGAGTACCCGATGGCAAAACTTAGTTTGAAAACCACACCGACTGGAACATCTGGATGTGATTGGACTATTAATATAATGAGCGCGGTTTGCTCCCACTATGATGGGCATATTTCGGTGCATTGTAATTAGGATGGTTTTATGTGTTTTCACCCTCCAAAAAAAGCCAGAATTTTTTATAGCTTAGCCAACGAAATTCTGGCGCAATGCATTAAAATGTTCTGGGTTTTGCGTGTTTAGAGCCAACATTTGGCTTAGTTTGGCTAGTTGGGCGATAGTTTGGCTTTTACTAATAAAAACTGTTATAAAATAAATAATGCTGTTCTAATTTCCGAGAGATTGAGGAAAAAAGTTACGTATTGCGTAGCTCATTTATGCGAGGAAAGAAGCATTCATAAATTATATCTATATTCAAAAGAGTATATCTATATTATCAAGCTCAATAGTCTCAAATTGTCAGGAACATCGATTTAAAGCACTGATTCAAAAACCAGCAATTAATTGTAATAATATATAATTAATAATATTGTCGCCCTTTAGGCGTGTAGACAGGCAGAACTAAAGTTTCCAATTTGGGACGCATTTTCATTGTGTGATCAAGTGTGGTGTGAAATGTTTATAACCTCTGGAATTGGGCCCCAGCTTGCAGAAACCTGGTAAGAATGAACTCTAATCTATGAATTTTTTTTTGCCTTGATATTTTCAAATAAATTGGCTTTCGACATATTTTCTGCTATATTGAACACATTTGCTTCATTTTTTCCAGGTGGCACGATGCAGCTTTCGGTAAGTTTTCCAATACTTTGGCCCTGGTTGCCATGTGGATGTTGAGCTTTTAGTCCGATATTGTTAACTTTTACATATTTTATATTCTTGCGTGTCATATTTATTCGTCCAGAAACGAGTTTAACACAATATATTGTTAATGTCCAAAGAAATTCAGGCAATTAACATTATCTGACAAAGTCGTGTTCAGCCATTTTTCCTTATTCATGTTGAATGCATTATTGGTGCATTGTGAAAAACTATCACTTTCCACTAGTACTAGTATAGTACACGAGTACTATTTAACTAATGTAATATTGGGACATTAACCATAAGTTAATTGATAGTAGATCAGTTCACTAATTTATTTGTCTATCTAACCCTAAATTCGCAAATTAAGCTTCCTATTGGATTTCTTAAAAATATAAAAGCTCCGGTTCCGTTCTCGCCCCATCCTCCACAAGATTAAACGTTGACATTCATTTATCTAGCGGCTAGCTAAAGGAGTGAAGGCAATTACCAGTTGCCACGAATTGAATTTTAAAGGAAAATCAAAGAAATAGGGACTAATTGAGTTAGACGATCCTGGACAAACAAGAGTCTCCCAAATATTGGTCTAAGCAAGTGCGGTTCGGTCTAATTACTTAATATTTGCCCGCGCGAAACGAACCGAGATACCTCGGGGACTTTTATTTAATTAAACCGCTCTTTAATCAAATTGCCAGTCGCCGATTTCTTGAGCCATGTTCTGCTCTATGTTGGCTCTAACCACATTTTGTCATCGGAAGAAACTTGCTGAGTTAAAATCTTCGTTCTCATCAAAGTCCAATGAAAAACTCACTTTTGTAAACAATTTAATCATTAGTTGTAGATAAATTCTATATTGTTGAGG